TGCACAAGATATTAGGGGAAGGGCTAATGATATAGAGGGTAGCAGACTATTCCAAGTGGTCTGGTCTGGTCTTCTGGTGCTACTTCTGCCCATCACGAAACCATTAAAGACGCCTCGGGAGCAGCTCTTTAGCTTCCTTATGGCTATGGAAGTCTGGTCAGATCAAGTGCCAGACATTTTATTGCCCAGACGCAGCATGAACAGGCGTATATATAGCGTATATATCTATGCAGACAGCCTCATCTGGAGATGTTGCATATTGGCGCTGTCCAACAAATTTAGCAACATTTCCTGCTCGATGCGCTCACTTCAAGACATCTTTTTTCTTTCTTCACTTTTTACTGTGTACAAACAAAAGTTTTCAATCGGACCTCACGCATTTTCAAAATGGGGAGTTTCCAGTTGGGGTAGGGTACATTGTAAATGTAATTAGTCAAAGAGAAGAGATCAGTTAGTTCATGACATCATAACCGCTGACATATATTAGACATATTTTATCCAAGAAAGGAAATTTAGAAGTCATCTGTTCAATATTTCTCAAAGTGTACAAAAAAGTTTCACTAGAAGAAACGAAGCCGAAAAGAGTTGAAAAGTTAAAAGTCAAAAGAAATTAAAGCATTAATTTAACGCCAGCTTTGCTTAGCTTTTGTGCTGCTCTGGTAATTGTTACCTTAGTACCTTTAATAGGTGAGTGTTTGCGAGTGCGTGTACACACAATGCACTCGAGGAAGTTGCGCTATTGTTGGCCATCATTAAAAGACAATTTGGGAATCGAGGTTTTGGGCCAAAACTCCAATTTAAAACCCCTTATATGCGGGCCATTGCCTTTGGATCTACTACGAAAGGCATTTAAAGGCGAAAAGCGAAAGTGTTTGGCCATATCCATTGCATTCGTTCTACTGCGATTGAAGAAATGTGGTGGTCTAACGGTTTTCCAGGGAGGGGGCCACTGGGGGAAATGGAGATTGATTAAAAGATTTACCTCGACCGACGATGATGCATTTCCCTTGATAATTTTTACGTAGTCAGCGATTTGCAGCTGCTGGCCCCTGAGGTTGCCGCTAATGCCTTAATAATATGATAAACTGGCCCAGCCAAAAAAGAGATTAATTTCCAAGACATTTCCCAGCAGCAACAGAGCAGCATCGGGAAAGCCGGCAAGTGAGTTGTTAGCTTGAACTAAACGTGGCATGTGGCAAGGGGAATTTTGAATGTTAAACGCTGGATGGGGCATGGCCAAGTTTCCAGAGCAGAGAGCAGCGGATAGCTCACTGGTAACCGCTCACCTTTCTGACCGAAAGTCGCTTTTTGATGGCTTTTAGCTCACCGTGTGTTTGTCTTCCTCTACTGTTTTTCCCGTCCCCCTTTTTTTGTTTTTCGGTTTCGGTTGTTTGCAGTGCACGTTTTCCTAATTGCTCCACTTAATCTCCGCTTTTAAGAGTTTTTGGTGGTCAGTCAATGGCCCGCAGAGAAAACTAAATACTATTCATATGTGAAAATGTACACAGGGGCAGTGCTCCTTTGTTTCGGTTCGCAATTTGGCCAAAGATAAAGTGTAACTGAAAGATGAAAGAAATCAGTTTGCAATGAGTGATTTAAAGGTCGTTGAACATGCATCTGAGAACCCTTTCAGCTGGAATCTTAAATCAAAGATTTACTACTAATGGAAAAAATAAAATATAGATATAAAATCATAATGAATTTTCTTTGAATGCGGCACTTAAAGTTTAAATGGTCTTAAACAATTGCTTAAAAAGCTTTCGCTTCGTGAGCCTACTATATCCTGACTATATCCATTTACAATATGCCCTCGGCTGCTCTCTCACCTTCTCACGATCGTTAAAAGCTCTCAATTACTCTACCTGTAATACCGGTAGCCTGACTTGCAGCGCCAAAAACAAAGAGCGTGAGTAATAAAAGTGAGTGTAAAGTTTTTAATTAACGAAAGTTTGGCCATAAATATGGCTTGGAAAATGCATTTCCGAATGTCACAAATACTATAGGTAGCTAAAATTTCCATATGTTGGACACGTACGAATGAATATCCATCATGGCAATTATGCAGGGCCCCCTCAGCAGCCGGAAATTTCACTTTGTGCAGTGAAATTATTTATTGGCTTAAATATTCGCAGTATGTGCCGAAGAAATGTCTGCATGGAGAAGGCAAAGTGTCGATGCCTGGTTCATAATCATTAGGGCTTGCCGCCGCGTCACTTCGATTGTCAGTTAAGCAGCGCTGCTTGCCACTGCCCACGTTCAGATACTCGTACTTGTACTTGCAATCCATCCCTACTTTTATGCCTTATGATGTTTTAACTACCTCCAAGTCCACATGACAACACATCCACATAAAGTTGAAAGAAAGGGGCGTGGGTGGTTGAGGCAGGGGAAGCAGAGCAGACGGCTTCGATGAGATTAGACACACACATGCAATCACAGTGGTCACTCACAAAATTGAAAAACAACTTACAAGCCATAAATTTAAAAAATTTTCTTTATGTTTTGTGAAAACAAATAAAAGTTGTTTAGTATTGGCAAATTCCTACTTTTAAAACGTCATTTTTTATATAGCTATTAAAGTAAAAAGTAAATTTCTTAAGGTAAAAAAGACCATTTCCTTACCCAACTAAAAGCTCATATATTTTAATGTGCAATAGAGAAAGCCCGTTTGTTTCAATGTGATTAAATGTATATTTAGTGTCTTGAAAACGCCAGAAAGGTAAAAGCCATATTTCTGAATGGCGGAAATTTATTACCATGAAACACCCAGGGCGGTCATATTTTGTGACCAGCAGCGACCACTGTACTCAAAATAATGTGTGAGTGCCGAACCGGCGACTGTGTATCTCTGTGTGCTCAAGTGAGTTCCATTGCACTTCTCCTGGTGAAATATCAGGCGACACTTAACTATTAAGCAAGAGCTGGGCAAAGTGGCAGGAGAAGACAGGAGGAGATGGAGCTCTCCTATTTTTAACCGCATGGAGTGGGCTTGTGCCCCACAGTCCCCATTCCATGCAACCCCCTTCCCGGTTTCCATTCCATCCCTGGGCAAGTCAGTGTTGCCATTTTTTTTTTAAAGGGAAATATGAATGTGTTGAAGCAGGAAGAGAATTTAAAAATACATTTTTTGACAGATTTGTAAACATTAGTAAAAACTAGATTACGGCTTCGTTGTGTTTACGGAATATTTCATAATTAAACAAGCAAATTTATATTGTTGGGGTTTTATAAAGTTAAATGTAACTTTCAGCCTTAGATGACGTCCAAGAGTAATTCAACAAAAATTTATTGCTACCTAAAAGGAATTTTTAAATCGCAAGATTAAAATACTTTCTCTGGATTAAAATTTAAATAAAATCTGAGTTCAAGGGAAAATAGCTGAACTGTCAACGCTGTTGCAAGTGCTTTACGCCTAGGCTTTTACTTACTCACACCGACAGGAAAAAAGGGGGCAAGTGGCATGGTGGTGTCAGGTTGCCGCATGCACCACTCCGAAAGAGCCCGTACCACCACCCCACCCATTCCAGCCCGTGCAACGCTCAGTGGGTCGCAAGTCCCACGACCCACCGATAGTAAAATGGCAAAGAAGCAAAGGCAGCGGCGGCTGCAACGACGACGACGACGACGGCCAGTCAACTTTTGGCTCGGCTAAACAAAAGTGTCTTCGCAGAGCTAAAAATAACCACTGTTTTGACCCAACTACTACCCCCTCTTCCTCTCCAGCTCTTTGGCTCCATGGCCCCCGATCCTCTTAGTCGCTGGCTTGCGCTTCCTGTTCTGTGTGCAAATCTGTGCCAAATGTTTTCCAAGAAAACGAAGTATGCAAATACATATTGCATTTAAATTCTTGTTGCAGCAGCACAGCAGCAAATGCTGCAAATACAGGAAAACCGGCAAAAGGGGCGGCCTCATTAGTAGCAAGACACTTGAAATTAGAGTTTGCTGCTGCTGGCCTGAACGTTCGGCGATGATGAAAGTGATTTATGTCCGGCAAAGGCAATGTTCCTCAGCTCCTCGAAGACACGAGATCCGAGACCTGATGTCGTCTGGGTTGGCAGCAGCTTCATCTTGGTTAGGAAACATGTTTGTGGGTTGCTACTGCTGTACTTTTGGTGTCCATACACCTTGTAATTAACAGTAAGGGGGGGTTTTTAATAAGGTCTTCGTTAAACATATTTTCATTTAAGTTTTTTAGGTCTTTTTCTTAGCTTTTCTTCAGACAAAATCATTTGACAGTTAAATGTTAAAGGAAATCATTTAATGTAATTTCTTGCGTAAGGATTAGTTTTCCTAGCTAAGTTTACCGATTTCTTTCTTAAAACAAATCTTATTTTATCTTGTCCATCCAGAATCAATTCAGTTATTATATAGGGTACCTCGAAGTCAAAAAATCCAAATGCACTTGATTTTTCCTTCAGAAAAACCAGATGCAAAAAGTCAAGAAAAAGAAGAAGCAGATACATCTAAAGAAACGAGAAGAAGCAGCTGAAGAAAGAAACAATTGCATAGGAACCCTGAAGTGCACTAGACCTGAACTATTTTTTCGCTTTTTTTTCTAATGGCGCTTTTTGCAATGGCACGGCATAACTGAAGCATATCTGCGCACACTTCTCGCTAGCGCACATAAAATAATAAAATGTATAATGTTAATCCCGCAAGTGTTTTTAAGACCGGCTTAACTATATATTTTATTTTCGCTTGAGTTCTTTGCGTATTTTTAAACTCTTTGTGACCTACAAGCAGAGTGTCCAATTCACCACGAGTTGAGTTCTGGCATCGAAAAAAAAAAGAGAGAGAGAGTAGAAGAGAGAGATTGAGAGTGGGCTCCAACTCCAATCCGTATCAGCTGTAGTTTGTTTTTGTTTTGATGCGCCACATGGCACATGAAGCGCGCTCTTCCTCTCCAGCTTTTGCGCTCTGAGTTGAGTTGGGTTTCGGTCGTTGTTTTTGGATCGATAAAACTTCTCGCGCTGCCGTGGTATAAAATGCTTTTCACTTTTCCCACTGCACTTTAGTCGCCAGACATTTATCGAAACGTGCACATCACCAGCGGTCGCACACTCAAATAACACATATATATATTGCTAAATATCCAATATATCCTTCGAAAAAAATATAATAAATAACTCGCGAGTGCAAATCATTAAGATATTACCTAGCTTTCTTTGTGAGTGAAGTGTTTTGGGAACTTTAGCTAGTTGGTTGGGAAAATGTTGCATGAAAGGAGATTGAGATGAAATCCTGACTTACCTAACTGAAGGAATTTTCTCCGCTTTCCGTCCGCTTTTCCTCCAGTATCCACTTCTCTATATTTTTCTCTCTCTCGGGATGCTTCTTGCATTCTCTCAAAGTTGAGGATTTATTGATTTTACGCACATGCAGCATCCCCAACTATGAGTCATCATCCATCCTGCAACGTTTTCCCCCACGTGCCTAATCTCCACATTTTCCCCTTTTCCGCGTGCGCTTAGATTTTTCCAGTGTGAAAAGTAAAGCAATTGCATCCATCCAACAGAGAGATTACCCTTTCGCAAACAAACAAACAAACAGAAATGGCCGCCTACGCTGCTTTCAAACACGTTGAGCTTTACAATGTTGGCAAGGCCAAGAAGAGGTAAGAAATTTGTGCAAGGATAACATGAAAATTTAACATTGTTTAGGGAAAACGAATAAGAATGTCTGAAAAAAAGAATCATTGAACTTTTCTTTTCGAATTTATGTTAATAAAGACCTTAAAATAAAGGATATGCAGACAAAGGAGTTTAAGCCAATTTGTTTTCGTCAAAAAAAGGCAATACTCTTTACATAAAAGGCCATACGGAAAGCCAGTTAATCACTGGAAGAAAGGTCTTTGTTAATATGTTTCTTTGTTAAAAAATGTCTCCTGAGACTTAAAAAGGGTTTAATTACCATGACGCACAAATAAAATGAAACAAAGAAAACCACAATGTTGTTTAAATAGTTTTGTTATCATTATTTGTTTGAAATAATTTAATTCTCTATAATATGACAACTTCTAAAGAATTTCAACAGTTTTTATTAGAGGGTGACGAGCGAAGATATAAACAAATACCAACTACACATTATTTGTTTATCAATTCCAGAATTAGCTTTGCTAAGCAATTCCTTTTAAGTTTTAATATTATGCGTCACTTTCGAAATATGCCCTATGTTCTCAGTTAAGAGATTACTCAACTTGAATGAATTATATCGAGGTTATCCGACGACCGACTCATTTTCCGTGAAGTTTATCAACTGTTACGTGCATATTGCATATTTTGTTATTGTTTGCCATCGCTCGAGTGAACTTTGATTGGCAAACATTTCGGAAGCCAGCAGCAGCAGCCTCATCGTGATCTGCATCAACATCTTCATCTTTATCCCATTGTCTCAGCTGTCAGGCCGCACAAACACCGCACATACACACACACACACGACCACACATTGTATATTCATTTGGTTATGTGTGTAGATTAATTTAGCGTTCATTCACCTCGCCGCCTGACTGACTGACTAACTAATATGCACTACCTATACAGTCGCGTGTGCACGGGGCGTATGTGTAATCTGGGGGAGCAACACTTTTGCAAGCGCCTACTTCCCACAAAGCCGAAACCATCAAGGAAACCACCTAACCACCACCTAGCAAGTGAACCACCTAAGGCACGCTGGCGTTAGTGTTGGCATGTCTTTGGATGTCTCATTGATTTTCCTTTGCCAACGGCCAACTGCCCCACGCCAAACCGCCACGCCAAAGCACCTCCCCCGACACCATCGCAGTCCACTCCGATGCCACCACACAAAAGTCAAAGGCACCGACCGGCGTTCTTTGGGAATATACCCTTTCTTATTTTCCGAGGGTTTGACAATCTCTTTTCGAGCCATCAAAACAATAGCCAATTTGAATTTATTAGGAGGTATTTACGAAACTATAATTTTGAAATCAAAATCGTTGAGTTATTAAGCCATATAATTATTTGTGTATTGTACTGCAAATTAATTTCAATACGTTTGAAGCTCTTTTTTAAATGATATCTTGTAAGTGTATTTACCTAAACTTCAGAAGCAAAGGTGTTATGGCCATTTTGCTTATTAGCAATGTCTTTTATAACATACTAATCAATAGTCATTAATAATCAAAAGCTTAGGGCAAAAAACTTTTTCATTGATATTCAATTTTGACTAGTTTTTGGAATCATATTTGGGGGTAATCGTTCAGGTTGTTAGACATTTAAACTGATTAGATACACCGATTATCCAAATGATACGAAAATATAATAAAATGTTTATTATTGAACAATCACCACTTATTACCGCTAGAAAGAAATCCATTATCTTATTACCGTTTATCACCGCTTGTCCCAGGGTATTTCCCCCATCGACTTGTCTTAAGTTAAGCCTGCCTTTCTTTTTCTTCAGTAAGTTTTGGTTTTTGTTTTTGCATGCAATTCTTTGACCAAGCCCCTGCCCAGCACCACCCATTTTTATGCGCCTTTCGAGTGGGGAAACAAAAATCGTTACCAAAATGTTTTTTTTCTTCGTTTTTGTTTTTTTGCCTATGTCTGTTCCGTTTACCACTCTTACGCTCTCGTACCTGTCCCGAGTTCGAGTGGTGGAGTCCAAGACCAAGTCCGCTTCCCTGTCCGCTCGACTGTCCGTCGTCCGGTGGTCCGTGGCGGACATTGAACCCCTGCTACTCTCCCGCGGGCCCCCTTGGGATCGGATCCGAGTCGAAGATTAGTTTTGGTCGCAGCAGAAACCAAATAGAAACAATTTTCCTTATGTGTGCCATGTGCATTATAAACAATTTGCTGGATTTTATGGTCCATCGATGTGTGGAAAATGTGTTAATCATTGTCATTGATTGCGATTGTATAACATACCGCCTTGGACTTTCCCGCCAGAGGCTGGAGGCCGAAAGACGAAGGAAAATGATTAATATACTTTTTCTCTGCATTTCGATGCAGCGACTGTCCCCCTTTCTTCTGCAAAGCCGTGACTTATTATTGTAAACAATCAAATTAAATCTCAAAGGTGCGACGCGCCAAGATATCGGATTGAATTGTCGCTCTTTGTTGCGTTGTATAAGCGGCGGAAATCATGACAATTCATTTTGTTTATGGCATTGTCTATCCATCAGACGATCATTATACGCTTGAATTCCTTTGCACAATGCCCGCATATCTACTGTTTACAACCTGAAGTTAACCTCATTCTGCAAGGAAAGTCAGTCGGCAAACAAATCAAGAATTACCATATATTTATAACCATATATATTATATATATACATTCTTATTTGTGAATGTTTTTTTTGGCGTTGCCAAGTCAACATTTATGTAAATGATTGCAGAACATGAGGAAAACAAGTCAAAGTCGTTATGAGGAATAATCAACAGAATTCTGCAGCACCTCCCCGCTATCATGACCTATTGACAGAACCGAAAAGGAAATCAAACACATTTCTGTAATACCTGCGTCAATGTAATTCCTGTTGACACGGAAGTCGGGCAGGAAAAGCGAGGAAAAACTTTTCGGCCCTCAGTGGAAGTTCCCCTGGCAACCTCAAAAAGAAATATATACATATATATATACTAAATACATGGGCTCTTTTCTTTTTGATTGATACTGTACCTCAGAGTGCCTGACACGATGAATGAGGCTGTTCACTATATTCAATTCCCATCGATCGGTTAGCAATTGGAGGGTGGAGTATGTTTTGTCCTCTAGTCAGGAGGAGCCAGCTCTTTCTGAATATATTAGAAAGTCCTTTCGCTTTTCACAAAGCCGCAAATTAATCAATACAAATTTATTAATTACATATTTAAAAGCGGCAGAGTTTCAACTTTCGCTGCGATGAGTGTGTCAGCAATTCTGGTATGGTCTGACTTTGGCTTTAGCAGTTGCTCTCTGGCACTGAAATGCACAATTTACGAAGCCAATCCCAGCTTACGTACGCATATACATAATAATAATAAAAATGCCAGCATCACTATCGGCATCTACATGCGGCTTTTTCAAGACAGCCAGCCAGCTTTTCCTCTCGAGCACAGCACTTTCCTTTGAATCGCGGCGGAACTGCAGTAACTGCAACCGCACACGGCTAATCGATAATTATTCATCGGGGCTCGGGCCAACACTATCGATAATTGACAATCTATGGTTTGGCAGCTCCATGCTGCAACTAACTCCTTTACCCCACCATTGTCCAATTATGAATTTTCATCAAATCCCGCTCCGTCCATTAATCACACCTCTCCATAACAAAAACAAAAGAAAAACTTAAACCACCCGCTGCGGTTTGATTTGGTGCCCTCTTGTGTCTTCCTGCTCATCATCTTTGGTGGAAAAGCCAATCCTCCTCCCCTGCTGTTATCCAACACTTTTCACAGCCGTGACTGACCAGGAAAACATATCAATTTAAATGCTATTGCTTTGATTGAGAGAGGGAAATGGAAAAGAAGTGCGTGGACCTGACAATCAAATTGTAGTTAAATCATGGGCATAGGAAGTCGTGTTTAATTGGGAGTCACAGCAGGAGATCTCCTCGGAATATCTCTTTTTAATTCCAAAGGAATGGAATTAAATATTTATCTTAGGCATTATCATTTAATAAAGATAGCTTGGATTATGAAAAATAATGACTTCCTTTTAAGGATGAAAGCGGATTCCTTTTATCCATTAATTATCATTCCAGCAATCACCTCTGTGGAATTCCTTTGACAACTTCGATCCGATTGATAGAGATATATTCCAGTGGCCACAGCTGATTGGATTTGAAAAGCTTTTGAGAGTGGAAAGCAACGGTAAACATACCGCGCTTGACTGATCTACACCGCCATGCCTCCCTCCTCCTAAATAGTGCTGCTCCTCCCCTTCCTTTCTGGTCAGCGGGGAAAGTAGATTCTTCGGAATAGGTATATCTCCTCCTCAGTTTTCTGTTTCATTGTGTTTTGTTTGATTTTGGCTTTGGCTTTGTCTGAAGAGCGGCAATTATAATGGATTCGACTAATCAACGTTTTTAGGTAAATCAAAAATGGGAGGGAGAGACAATCATAACAAAAGTGGCAGCAACAATAGAAGAAAACCGCACACAATTTTCGTGCTTCAGTTGGATTTTCATTAGTTTTTTTTTTTTTTATTGTATTATTCGTTTTGCGGTTGCACGAAGCGGACGGGACACGTTTTAAATGAAACAAAAGGAAGCAGCAACGCAGCTAGTGCACTGCTGCGATGCAGTCGAGCAGCAAGCATAATGAGCCGAACAAACCCAAAACTCGATAATAAATGGGCAGCAAAAAACTAGAGAAAAAAAAACAGTAACACATCAAGTGAACTCGTCCGATAAACAATTACCCGGACATTCGAATCAAGCCGAATCAACTGGAACCTACTCCAAACTCCAGCTCCAAGCTCCATTTTCATTTCCATCTGTATAGCCATCGCCATCTTTCTATGACCATGATGTACAGGTGCAGTGCAGCATAACGATCGGCTGGACTAACACTGATGCTTTATGGACTAAACCATAAAGTTGAGGCCTCGCGACTGACTGGCAGTAAATTGTGCATTTTTATTGCATGATTGCTCTCAGCAGGCAAACAAAAACTAACAAAT